TGCTTCATCAAACGGTGACTAGATGTGACGAAGGCAAAGAACGACTAACGGCAAACCAGAAACGAGACAAAGCCTCAACGTGTTTCAACACAAGTAACCAAGGAAAAGCAGCAGCTGGATCACCACAAACAACTTGAGAGGCCCAACAAAGATCTGGTCCAGAAAAAACCGAACAAAAAGATTCTTGGTGAGAATCCACGTAACCCAAGGGAAGTTGCCACAATCCCCTGTTTTAACTCCAAACAAAACAGAGGACAAGGAACCCGAGACAAACGACACAAAAGAACAAAAGACAAGCCGACACTAACAGAAAAAACGTGACCTGGTTCGGGCAGAGGCCACATTGCCCAACAAAACTTAAGCCACAATATCACGGAAGACATTCAACTGACGTGGACATCAAGGTAGAAGAAACCATGGTTCGTGCATCTGAGTACAAATTAAACTGAACGTCATCATGCCAACCCCCCCCAACCCCCCCAACACAACATGAACATGATGAACATGCGAGCAAGGAAACAAACCGTGGAAAATGGAGAGCTGTAAAAATGAGTACGACTATGTGCGCGGAAAACATGCCGCTGGCAAAAACATGCTCACGAAAACACAACCGCCACCAAAAGTTCCACTACAACACCAGACCACTAGCAAAACACCACCACTGAAACACCACTGCAACACCAAAATATCGCCACCACCATCACCACCACCACCAGCAAGACACCAGCAAAACACCATCAAAAGATCACCAAAGCACTCCAAGGACACCACTGTATGAATGTTGCAGGGCTGAGCATCTCGTACTACACAACGGCAACCGGGACATCTCTACCTCTTCCCTCAGTCAAAAACATATCTCTCAAACGTAGTTGACTGCACATCCACTGCCACTTTTCTAAGCATCCCCAAACGCCGAGCTTCGGGCAAAACTGTCTACAGGTTCTGCTCTTCTGTCGATGCCGTGAAAGAATGGTTGGCGGTCATCTCAGTCACGGGATACCAAGATTGTGACCAGTCTTGACCCCGGGTCTCCTCGCCCGGATTTTGGTCTGTGACATGATATTCTCATGGATTGGATGTCCATGCTCTACAGGATCTGGATCTTCGCTGAATGAGGCGGTGTCGTCTCCCAGAACCACTGAAATCCACCAAGCTTTTCAAACAAGATCCATACAGCCATTGTATGCCATTATCACCAACTTTCCGGGTGATTAACAGTAGTTTGCGGATGTTTGCGGACAATACTTGCTTTTTACTGATTTTACCGCTTATTTATATAGTTGTTTAAAATTGCGGTTACGAACGGGGGCTTCGGGTATGGGTCTTAAGTGCTAGAGCAACCCTTTAGGTCCCCAAGACACCTGCCCAATGACGACAGCTCCTATTTCTTGAGCCATGAAAAAGTGTCAGAGCACATGGTTGTGCGTGTCATCCTGCAGGGGTCCATGCTGCTTGCATGTGCACAGTGCCAAACGCACTCCCCCTTGGCCAACTTGGCCAATCTCTAAAATCAGCCGGCGCACTCAGTACATGGCCTCCTTGACATTGGGAATCTGCTATGATTCACCGTGTGGTACTTGTTATCCAGGATGTAGACCATCCCACCACGCTGTAGCGGTCCACAGGGACAAGGCGTGAAGGCTTCATGCCTGTAGATGCGCGAGGCGCATTTCAATTTTCCGCAGCTCGGCCTCACGTGATAGACCGTGCCAAAAGCGGCTGTGAAGATGGTCGGCCGGGGTACTTCGTCTGACTCACCCCGCCGTGGCCCATCATCTGGCAAACCTGGCTCGCCAGCTGGCTCTGCCTGGTCGCCCCCACGAGGTTCATCGTCGGCAGCAGCAGCAGCATAAACGGCCTGTGATGCCGTGCTGCCCGCAGCCGGAGCGGCTTTTGGTGCCGCCCCTTCTGTAGCCGGAGCGGCTTTTGGCGTCGCCCCTTCAGCTCCTTGAAGTTCATGTTGTGGCTGAGGCCCAATTGGCCCCTGCTGCATCGCTTGAGGCCCTTGTAGGCCCTGCTGTTGCGGGAAAGCTTGCGGCTGCCCTGGTGGACGTTGTCCTTGCATCCAGGCTGCCGGAGGTGCTTTCGCTCCATGAGGGAACGGAATGGCCGGGTCGACCTCCTCCTCCTCCTCATCAGGCGTGACGTCAGCAGTCCCCGGCGTGGAGGCCACTGAAGTCTCTTCTTGGCTCTCCTCGGCCAGGCAGACCGAAGGAGAGGGCGTAGCCGGGCGAAGTCGCGCCCCTTGGCCAGGCCGGAAGATCTCTCTTCCCCCCCTTCCTTTTCCTTTTTCTTTTCCCTTCCCCTTTCCACCATGTAGTGCATCTTCAGCTCGATCACGTCGCTCTTGGATGCGCGTGCTCATCGGCACCCAGTGGTCAGGAGTACTTGGCGTAGGCACGTAGTCCTCGGGGATGGCAGGCATGTCATCCTCCTCTTCGGGTGTTGGATTGGCGGCCCGTCCGCTTCCGAGAAGGCCGGCGACGTAGGTCGACCATCACCAGAACCCCGTGAAGAGCTCCCAGTGGTCCTCCTTCTCCTCAGTCTTGGAGTCGGCATCGCCTCCTCATCGCTGTATTGGATGTTGGCCACGTCGTTCCCATACCATTCATCCATTTCTCGATTGGAGTAGTTGCGCACTTTGCCAGCGCCCTTCCCTCCAACCTGTCATCTTTCTCCATGGAGCTGTTGGCACCAGACGCATGCCAGCACTCCCAAAATCACCATCGCAGTGTACACCCATACGCCCAAGTCCTTGCAATGTTTGCGTTTGACAGCTATTCCCAATCAAAACGCTCGCCACGACCCCTGTCCCGGCACAGGCCTTGCAAAACCGCTTTCCCCATTGGAAACGCTAGCTTTAACAAGCCTTGACCAAACTATCATGGTTCTATTCGTTTTTGATCGAATCCCATCGGAACGCCGGTTTCCAACGGGCCTTTTTTCGTGGGCACTGTTGACGCCCACAAACAAAAACGCGAAGCAGGCCCTTTTCCGAGTTTGTATACTGCAGGATGGGTTCTGATAAAGGAAAAAACGAGGTCCAAAACGAGGTCAAAACGAGGTACGGAGAAAGCCCCGCATCTACACACATGGACTTTGGCCCGCAAGCCGCAAACCTGCCCTTCCTTGGATCACTGGTAGCGAAACAATAACAATTTGCAAAATTCCAGCACACCGCCATGGCAGTGTAGAGATGATAATCCCAGCGTTGTGTAGAAGTACCCGGAAACAGCAACAGCAGCAGCCGTCGAACCAGCAGCCGCAGCAACAGCCAGACGCCAGTAGCTGCAGAACCCAACAGCAACCATCCCAAACACAATGAAAACGCAACTAGCAAGATTAAAGCACTATGCAAATAGTAAAACAACGCCCTACCCCAAACACAACCTAAACGCTGCTTCGCCACTTTAGGTCTACATGAGATAGTAAAACAGCAACCTACCCTAAACACAAGCTAAACGCCGCATCGCCACGACTTCCACAAAAGCCTTCCCCCAAGCTAATTTCAAGATTTTTGGGATTTCGCCACGACTTGGGCAGTTGGGAGTAGCCCGCCAGCAGCACGAAGAAGAACAGGAATGCCCCAAAGTCTCCGTCTTGGTCACGGCGACCACCATCACCAGGCTGTCCCGTCACCAACGTCGGCAGAGCGAAGAGCATGGCAGCTACAAAACTACCACTACAACTACCACCGTAGGCAGACATGCCTTCCACCGGTGCTACGGCTACTTGGCTCTCAGCGCCAGCTGAAGATTTTGACCCTTCAAGGCTAGTGTTCACACTACGGACTTGGATCTTCAGCTGGGCACCCGAACCCTGCAAAAACTCGTCATTTTTTGGTCCTACTGGACCCGATTGATGCCTGGAGATTTGATCGCCAGTCAGGCTGTTGATTTGAGAACTGTCGGAGTTCTCCTTGGCACCAATCAGCTCCGAAACCCCTTGAGGCTTCACATTGTAGGGCACAGCCCTTTTTTCACTACCATTCGCACTAGCTACACAGCTACAAGGATCTGCATGAGGATGAGAAAAGCCCAAAAACAGTTGAACATCCTGGACAGCGTTGGGGGTCATATGCCAACCATTTTTCCCAACCTCACAGATGTGATCCTCATTCAAAATTGGCCAGACAGGCCGCATGCAAGAGGGCAGATGCCCACGGCCAAGAAGAGCAGCTGGTCCTTGATGTCCAGGAAGTAGAGCGGCCCAATCACAGCCATAGATCTCCTCCAGCGTTTCAGCTCCCCCGGGACCAGGCGTGTCCCTTGCAGCACCATTGAAGCCCAGCAAGGCTTCACCACAAAGAGGTTGTAGAGCTCGTCCATGAAGTAGCCCCACATCATCGTACTTTTCATCGTACTGATCATCGTACCGATCATCGCTACCTCCTCCACCGCATTCATCACCATCACAAGCCCAACCATCGGTAGTCATCCCAAGAGATGGTCGCGGAGCAAGCCCAAGAGATGGTCGCGGAGCCCAAAGGTGGCAGGTCGCACAGCACAGCAGCGGAGCCCAAGCGTCGCCACATACATAGTTGCGAAGCCCGAATGTCAGGACATTCACCGGCGCCAAGACATACACATCCTTGAAGATGCTCAGCCCGAGTGTCAAGACATACACCAGAGCCATGACATTCACCATCATGAAGATGCCAAGCCCGAGCGTCCAGACATACGCAGACACCATGATCTTTTCCAGCGGGTCGTTGCCAAGCCCGACCGCCATGACATTCTCTTGAATCTTGAAGCCCTCCATCACATAGATGCTGAGCCCAATCTTGATGGCAAAGTTCAGCAGGTAGTGCGGCACCATGACTTCCATCTTTTCTCATCACCTTCGTTGGACGCACCACTTCGACATCAGACGACGTTTCTTCCACCGTGAGGTCCTCAGCCTCTGGCTCTGGTTCACCAGGACCCGGTGAGTCAACAGTCGGCGGATCAGTGGGCGCAGATGCACTTGACGTTGGAGGTGGGACGTTCTCGTAATAGGTCTCCCTGGGATTTCTGTAAATGACCCTACTCCCGTCAGGCATCACCCTTTCAGCCACAACTCCCAGTCTGGAGTATGCTGGATTTGCACTTGGTGCACTGGCCGCATTGGCCCGATTTTCTGTTGCAGGAGCACTTGATGCACTGGCCGCAGTTGCCTGGCTTTCTGTTGCAGGATCCCTTGAACTTGCGGTTGAACCCCCAGGATTTTCCGTTGTAGGAGCCCTTGAACTCGCACTTGAAGGCCCAGCACTTTCCGAAGACGGCCCAGTCGCTGTAACACAAATTTTTCCCACTATTGGTGGTTCAGCTGCAGGACGTTGATCTGGTTGATCAGTTTTTCGCATTGTGAGCTCGATGGAGTAGTCCACACCAGGGATCCCTTGGCGGTATCCCACCATTGGCACTCCTCCCACGGTGAGCTCTACCCGGACAGGTCGAGAACTGCCCCTGTGCTCCACCAGGTAGTCCTTGAGCTGGAAAAGGTCGGAACATCCCTTCCCCACCGACCCTTGGTGGCGGTGGCGGTGGTGGTGGTGGCGGCGGTGGCGGCGGCTGCGACCAAGGATTTGGCTTCCCGGTCCCCTTGCCACGCCCCGGCCAGCCAGGGTACATCCCGTGTTGAGGATCATCCACCGTCACCCTTGTTGGCAGTGACACAGACTCCACATCATCTTGAAGACCGTCGCCTGGAAGATCACCACATAGTGCCCCAGCCCGAGCGTCTCCACATCCTCCATGTTGTAGTTGCGAAGCCCGACCATCAGGACATTCACCTTCAGGTAGCGGAGCCCCGTCATAGGCCATTCCATGCACTGGCAGCGGAGCCCGACCGTCACCACATACTTCATCAAATGGTGGCGGAGCCCGATCGTCACCACATACACTGTCACATGGTTGCGGAGCCCGACCGTCATGACATTCCCAAGAACCGTCATCCTCGGCCAGCACTGCCCGCAGTTGTGGTACTTCTTCACCCCATCGCTCATCAGGTAGGTCCTTCAAGAGACCCATGGCAGTTGCGACAAGTTCGCCAGGAGCGTTCATCGCACATTTCACTTGAAAAAACATTCATGGCTTCGGGAGCAGCGTTTTGAGAACCCTGGGTGTTTTGGTTGGTTGAACCCTGGTTTTCAAACCCTTCTATCTTACCCCCTTTTACCAGCCCATCTATTTTTCCCCTTATATATTCACTCAACCCCTTCATCAATTCCCCTTTTTGGATTTCATCATCCGAACCAGGAATTGGGGTAAAAGTGGCAAGTGCTACAGCCCCTAACCCTGCAGCGGTTATTTTTGTCAGTTCATTTTTCAACACCAGCGCCTTGACGTGCTTGGTGTCCTCCTCGACAACCGGAGCAGTAGTTGTGCTGCGCACCATCTGCATGAAGTCAAAGAAGATCTTCCACCTCGCTCGAGGGTTCACCGCCTTGGTGAGGTGATCAGCGCTCAGCAGAGCTCCAGGAAGATGTCGCACAGCCCAGCGTAGCTTGTGCTGAAGCCTCTGGCGGAGGACATGACTGCGCAACCGCAGATGGCGCGTACGCCAAGGTCCATCCGGAGAGCTCAACACCGACACTGCGGCCTGGTTATCCCCATAGATCACTCGTTGGAGTTGATCTCCACCTCCACCTGCGAAGTCCTCATCAGGAGCTTGTGTGACTCCTTCATCTTCATCATCATCTTCATCATTCTTGTCAAACTCGATCGGGATCTCCTCCAAAATGGAAATGATGCAGCCAATGGCGTCGGCAACTGACATCGCCTCAATGTAGCTGAGAAGCTCTGATTCTGCAGTTGACAAAGTCAGACACCCCTGCCGGTTCGACAGCCACTGTATTGGAGCACCCCCATACAGCCCGATCACACCTTGGACACTCTTGGAAGACTGCGGAGCAAAGGAGACGTCAGCATAGACCTCGACCCTTGTCATACCCCTTGCAAAAGGGAGGCAATCCTCTGGCCCAAAATTCGGAACCAGAGGTCCATAGACCAAACCCACATCCAGAGTTCCATAGATGTATTCCATGGCTTCTTGGCCAACTTGACAGACAAAGGCAGGATTCTTTGTTGACATCCGACCCATAAGCCCTGTCACATAACTCAAATCAGGCCTGGACCGGATGGAAAGCCACAGCAGCTCACCAGTCACAGCCTGTGCTTCTCGCAGTTGTTCACGAGTGAAGTCCTCCGGCTCCTCAGGAATCACCAAAGAGCTCGACATCGGCGTAGGCCTTGTCTTTTTGATGCCATGCCGCCTCGTCAGCTCCTCTGCATAGGACTTCTGAGTGACCACAACTTCACCATCGGGACCCTTCTTGATCTCGAAGCCACAAAAGGTCATAGGTTTTTGACCTTCGGGTGCCATCCACTCAGGGTCGCTACACTTCCAACGTGCCTGCACCTTCTTGAGCGTGGCGTCAATCACCTCAGTGGATCCAGTGATCAGCAAGTCATCAACATAGACCACCATATGTCCCACCGTTTCATGTTTTTCCACCTC